GAGCGGTGTTCCACGGGGTCAGTGTTGGGCCCCTGCTGTTCACAATCTACATAAACGACATTGATGAGTGCATAAAGAGCGACATCAGCAAGTTTGCCGATGACACCAAAATAGGCCGTCGAATTCATTCTGACGAGGATATTAGAGCACTCCAGGAAGATTTGAATAGACTGATGCAGTGCTCGGAGAAGTGGCAGATGCAGTTTAATATAGACAAATGCAAAGTTCTAAATGTTGGACAGGATAATAACCATGCCACATATAAACTAAATAATGTAGATCTTAATATTACGGATTGCGAAAAAGATTTAGGAGTTTGGTTAGCAGTAATCTGAAACCAAAGGACAACAGTGCATAAGTGTTCGCAATAAAGCTAATAGAATCCTTGGCTTCATATCAAGAAGCATTAATAATAGGAGTCCTCAGGTTGTTCTTCAACTCTATACATCCTTGGTTAGGCCTCATTTAGATTACGCTGCACAGTTTTGGTCACCGTATTACAGTGGATATAAATGCTCTGGAAAATGTACAAAGGAGGATGACAAAGTTGATCCCATGTATCAGAAACCTTCCCTATGAGGATAGACTGAGGACCCTGAATCTGCACTCTCTAGAAAGGCGTAGAATTAGGGGGGATATGATTGAGGTGTATAAATGGAAGACAGGAATAAATAAAGGGGATGTAAATAGTGTGCTGAAAATATCTAGCCTAGACAGGACTCGTAGCAATGGTTTTAAGTTGGAAAAATTCAGATTCAGGAAGGATATAGGAAAGTACTGGTTTGGTAATAGAGTTGTGAATGAGTAGAACAAACTCCCAAGTACAGTTATAGAGGCCAGAACGTTGTGAAGCTTTAAAAATAGGCTGGATAAATACATGAGTGGATGTGGGTGGGTGTGAGTTGGACCTGATAGCTTGTGCTACCAGGTCGGTTGCCGTGTTCCTCCTTAAGTCAATGTGACCTGACCTGACTAGGTTGGGTGCATTGGCTTAAGCCGGTAGGAGACTTGGACCTGCCTCGCATGGGCCAGTAGGCCTTCTGCAGTGTTCCTTCGTTCTTATGTTCTTATGTTCTTATAACCTAATATAAGTTAGGATAACCTAGGATAACCTAAGGTAATTTAGGATAACCTAAGATAAGTTAGGATAACCTAAGATAAGTTAGGATAACCTAAGATAAGTTAGGATAACCTAAGATAACTTAAGATAAGTTAGGATAACCTAAGATAAGTTAGGATAACCTAGGATAACCTAAGATAAGTTAGGATAACCTAAGATAAGTTAGGATAACCCAAGATAAGTTAGGATAACCTAAGATAAGTTAGGATAACCCAAGATAAGTTAGGATAAACACTAAGATAAGTTAGGATAACCTAAGATAAGTTAGGATAACCTAAGATAAGTTAGGATAACCCAAGATAAGTTAGGATAACCTAAGATAAGTTAGGATAACCTAAGATAAGTTAGGATAACCTAGGATAATAGTTGCCGTCACGTGACTTACGCTGACTGATGCTTCCTACTGTACATCTTCAAGAAGGAAGGAACCTTGAAGGTGAAGGGTTCTTGATCTAAGGAACTGGAGCTACTTTTCATTTCCTAGAATTATATGTGTTTTCTTCCGAATACTCAGTCTTTGTGTACTCACCTGTATTTACTGTAAGGGGTCAATTCATAGCTCCTGGCCCAGTTAGTGTGTGTGTGTGTGTGTGTGTGTGTGTGTGTGTGTGTGTATACTCACCTAATTGTACTCACCTAATTGTGGTTGCAGGGGTCGAGACTCAGCTCCTGGCCCCACCTCTTCACTGATCGCTACTGGGTCCTCTCTCTCTCTGCTTCCTGAGCTTTGTCATACCTCTTCTTAAAACTGTGTATGGTTCCTGCCTCCACTACTTCACTTGCTAGGCTATTCCACTTGCTGACAACTCTATGACTGAAGAAATACTTCCTAACGTCCCTGTGACTCGTCTGAGTCTTCAGCTTCCCGTTGTGACCCCTTGTCCCTGTGTCCCCTCTCTGGAACATCCTATCTCTGTCCACCTTGTCTATTCCCCGCAGTATCTTGTATGTCGTTATCATGTCTCCCCTGACCCTTCTGTCCTCCAGTGTGTGTGTGTGTGTGTGTGTGTGTGTGTGTGTGTGTGTGTGTGTGTGTGTGTGTGTGTGTGTGTGTGTGTGTGTGTAGAAATCCTGTGTTTACACGCTTTGGTTCTTCCCATATTCAATAACCAGTTTCTGTCCACCTAGTCTATGTCCCGGAGTAATTTGTATGTTGTTATCATATCTCCTCTTTCCCTCCTATCATTTAATTTTAGTGTTTTTAACCTTCATATTTTTTTACTGGTAATCATTACGCAGCTCGTCACTGGACTTTTTTTTCTTACACAAGTATTTTTTTAGGTGCGGACACGACACTCCCGCTGCATATTCCAATTTTGGAGTAATGTAAGTTATATTTTTTTACCAACCTTTTTTATCAGTATAGGTGAAGACTGTCTCCGAGGTTGCCAGCGTAGCGCAGGAAGTTGTTGACAACTTTACTGATGTGTTGATCTTATAGTGACCATCTTTCTGGCTACACCACTTTTGTATATTTCTGTTAGGTAAGTGGACACAAGTGCAAGGAATGTGACATTTTATTGTGGCAACGTTTCGCTCTCCAGGAGCTCTGGTGGCCTGGTGGCTAAAGCTCCCGGTTCACACACGGAGGGCCCGGGTTCGATTCCCGGCGGGTGGAAACATTTCGACACGTTTCCTTACACCTGTTGTCCTGTTCACCTAGCAGCAAATAGGTACCTGGGTGTTAGTCGACTGGTGTGGGTCGCATCCTGGGGGACAAGATTAAGGACCACAATGGAAATAAGTTAGACAGTCCTCGATGACGCACTGACTTTCTTGGGTTATCCTGGGTGGCTAACCCTCCGGGGTTAAAAATCCGAACGAAATTTTATCTTATCTTACATGGACACAGAGTGTATACCCTCTGTGTCCATGTATTGTTTGTAACGGCTTGACAAAACTTCTGGAGAGCGAAACATTGCCACAATAAAATGCCACATTAGTTGCACTTGTGTCCACTTACCTAACATATTGTCGGTAATTCTACCCACATTATCACATCTTTCTTACCCTCAGAAGTTATTAACATTGCATCACAATAGTCTTCTCGTATCTTCTCAGCAATTTACCCTTATATTTGCACCATTATAACATTTATCTACGTAATCTCCCACCATCCTTCAGTTACTCCAGTTCATCACTTTATTAACATCTTCTGACAGGAATTAAACTATTTAGCTGTTTCTATCACAGACGTTTTTGCATGGAGTCATGACGTCCTCTGTAAATATTCAGAGACAGCCTCTGAAGGGAGGTTCCTTGATGCTGGTGAGGGACTCTTGCTCTGGGGTGTTGGATCTGTGCTCCAGTTCCCTAAATCAAGCCTGAAGGCCTTCAACCCCCCCTACCCCCTACAGGCGCTGTAGAATCTACGGGTTTAGTGCTTCACCATAATAATAATAATCTGACAGGTCACGTACTTGTTATTACTATCATCAAGGGAGAACGCTAAATTCATACGGTTCAAACAGCGTCTGGAAAATAGGTAAAAGAACACAAGTGCAACGTTTCGCTCCTGGAGAGCGAAACGTTGCCACCATAAAATGTCACATTAGTTGCACTTGTGTCCTTTTACCTAAAATATTGTCGGTAATTTTACCAACATTAGAAAAATAGTAGATAATCATGTTTGATCCAAGAAGCGTGAGGGGTTGGCTCCAGTTCCTCAGATCAGGAGCCTTCTACCTGCGTTAAGGCACCTCCTCCTCCCTCACTGAAGGGATCAAGGCAGGGACAGACCCATGGGGGACCCCGCTGCTTATGTTATCCCATGACAACTTTCTTTCTCTTGTCATTGTTCGTATTTTCATTTCAAACAGAAAATATCTGACGTTCTTTCTGCTCTTTGTACTTCCTAGATTAGTCAATTTATGCAAATATCTAGAATTGTAATCACTGATTTGTGTTTACAGGTGTGTGTGTGTGTGTGTGTGTGTGTGTGTGTGTGTGTGTGTGTGTGTGTGTGTGTGTGTTAGTTACCATTTTGTCCTAGGCACATGTCGATTAGACACTAGGCCTGTTGTGTGTGTGTGTAGGTGTGTGTGTGTGTGTGTGTGTGTGTGTGTGTGTGTGTGTGTGTGTGTGTGTGTGTGTGTGTGTGTGTGTTGTGTGTTTAGTTACCATTTTGTCCTAGGCACATGTCTGAGTTGCGTGGTTGGTTGGTTGATTAATGCAACATAAAGCCTATTGACTGCACGAGGCGTAATTAAGGCTACACGTAACCTGTTTACCACTAGTCAAATATACTTTAATCCCCATAATATTGATTAAACTACAGTACAATACAATACAATTGTACAATTGTATTGTACCATACTTTAATAAATATTATGGGGATTAAAGTATAGTTGACTGGTGGTAAACAGGTTACGTGTAGCCTTAAGTCTAACTTAGACTACAAGGGCATATATTGTATATACACTGAGAGACACACACCTCAGTGTCTATATTGTAGTGTATGTATTGGAGTGAGTTGCTAAGGGAAGGGAGACAGATGCAGGTTAGGTTTGTATTGAGAGACAGGTCTTCTAACAGAGCTTCACAGTGTGGTAATGTCTTGCCCACCTTCTCTTCTACAGCCCGGGGACATGAGCCAGAGCCTGCCATACCGCCCACACCCGCACGCCCACCGTCGCCGCCCACACAACTCATACAACGCTCCTGGTAGAGGTATGTGTCGCCTATACTCCCTTCTGTCCTCACCCATCCATCTCCCACGTATATCACCTCTTTACCCTTCTCCTTTGTTAATTACCTTTTCCACCACCTCATTCCATTTCCTCTCCCACATTCTACCAGTTCTGTTACATCCTTCACCTTCTCGTCTTTTGCCTTATTCCTTTCACTTGCATCACCCTTCCTCTGCCATTCTGTTGTTCCGTCTCTCTTTTTCTCTCTCCCTTTTACTTTTCCTGCCTAGCATGGGCCAGTAGGCCTGCTGCAGTGCTCCTTCTTTTTTATGTTGCACGTTACTAATACCTCTCCTTCAGACATCTGAAAAGTAGACTAGTCCCAGTAGAGAAGGTGGTTTGAACGCCTTGTCACCTGCCAAGGCAATCACCTATCCGTACGTGAGTGACATCAAGGACAGGCTCATCGCATCTCTACAGTCAGGTAATGGAGTATATGACAGCAACAAATGGAAGCACTGTGCAGCTGACCACACAGACCTGCGTCAACATGCACACACTCACTGCCAAGGACATTAACATGCAGTGTTCAGTATACGTGATCACAGCCCCGTTACTCCTAGCATTGTATAACATATCCAGGGAAGGAAAGTACACGAATATGATACATGTGCAACACTTGGGTGTTTTATCAGAAGAAGTTTGAGGTAATCAGTCCACCAGCCCAGATTACATCAACTTCAGGATGAGGGACTGATTACCTCAAACTCCTACTGATCAGCTCCAGAGCTGATCAGCTGCTCACCAAACAACATTGACGTCGTTGCTAATGATTGTGGTGATGACTTTACCATGATGACCATCAGGGAGTTAAATACAGGCATCATTGGGCCGAATTGAGAAGCCAGCGAGAACTGTCAAAAAAAAAAAAAAAAAAAAAAAACATCCACATCTCACAGATGTGGACGTTAACATAACACAGAGCTAGACGTGAACATCTCACAGATGTGCATGTGAACATCTCACGGGGCTAAATGTCAGCATTTCACAGAGCTAGATGTCAATATTTCACAGAGCTAGATGTCAACATTTCACAGAGCTAGATGTCAACATTTCACAGAGCTAGATGTCAACATTTCACAGAGCTAGACGTCAACATCTCACAGAGCAGGTCATCGTCTCACAGGGGTGGACTTCAACATCTCATAGAGGAGGACATCAACATCTCACAGAGTACATACATACATACTGGTGTGTAAGGTGGTACACAACAGCAGCCAGAATCTTGGATATTAATACACCAGAGTCCCTTAAATATGGTTGTTGTATTGACGGAACTTGAACTATTCTTCCTTTTCTCGACTCGAATCTGATTACCACTCCAGCACCTATCATTCATTCCTCAGACTCTGAATGACCCCTTCAGACGTAGCGTTTTCCATGAATATGTACTATGGATCTTCACACTTGCACTTGAGGTGCACCACATATATTTAAGACATTTTGCAGCAGGTATTATAGTCGTAAACGTTGCTATAACATTGCAGGAGGGCGTGCCAAGCTGGTCGGGTCATCATTGGCAAGCAACAGCATTCATCCAGACCTGGTTGAGCTCGGAGGTGGTCTCTACACTGACTGGACCAACTGGTCTCGCTGCTCCAGACGGTGTAAACAACGACGTCGGCGCTCCTGTCGTGTGCCAGCCGTCTGTGGCACTGCTGTTCTCAAGGTCAGTTGCATTAGGGATGTATTTGTGGGGCCCAGTTCCTTCAAGGGAGGTTTCCTTGATGACGGTGAAGGGCTCTTCATCAAATGAACTGGAGCTAACTTCGCCTTCTTTGAATCAAACCTGATTGCCTTCCATTCCCTAAGTGCTTTATGAGCCCTCTGTTCTTAGCGCTCCTCAGTGGATATAATAATAATAGTAGTGATACTTAGTGCCCATGGGGTTAGCAACATCTGTGGCACTTGGTGTGCCAACGACACTCCTTTATTGTCTCAATGAGAACTTGTTCAGTAACTCGTGTCTTTTCTTCACAGATAAATATCAAGTGTCCTCCGACTAGTATATGACTGTCACTATGTTATTTCTCGCTACACCAGCCGGGTATATACAACGAACACAATACATTCGTGTGTGTTTAACCATAAGTGTGTACATTAATGCCTGCAATTTTTAATGAATATTTATCAAATTTGGTGTAAATAATGTTTATAAATTTAAATTGCTCTTGCTCTAAAGCCTTTTTTTTTTCCTCCACCGGCCAGTAAGATATTCCATCTTTTGTAATAACTTTTCCTGAGTAACCAGTGATGCCACGGCCTCTTTTCCTCTACTAGGTTGCTTTTAAGAACTTTTTCAACTGACGTAACCAGTCTTGCTGTGTTACCCCATAGGAGGAGCGTAGCTGTACAGGTGGTCGTTGCTCCGGGAGGAGGCCCTTCCATATCATCCGGCCGGAGGAGTTCTCTAAACAGCCGCCCAGGAATGACATGCGAGTCCTGCTCAACTTCAACTCAATGTTCTACACTCGCTGGTCCCGCTGGTCCGCCTGCAGCAGGTCATGCCTCACACGTAGATACAGGTCAGTGTCTTGAGATGCAACTTAATTTTTGAAGAATAGGACACTTGTGCAACATTTACGTATCTTTATTTGTAGATGTTTCGCCATCCATGTAAATACTGTAGAACTACATACAAAAGAGAGGGTAGTCAGTCCCTCAGCCTTGGTCTTGGTGAAGAGTACCAAAGTCTTCAAGACTCCTGGAGTCTTCAAGACTATGGTACTCCAGGAGCTCCCCAGAAGCTTAACGAAGCTCCCGGGGAGCTCCTGGAATAAAATGTCACATTAATTACACATGTGTCCTTTTACCTAACATATTGTCGATGTTTCTACTGTTATTGCTATTCTTGACATTAACTCTTGCCACTGACCATACATGACGACTAACTGGTGTGTCGACGGCAGATCATGCAAGTATCCGCTCTTCTGTGGGGAGCGAGTGGTGCACGAGGAAGCCTACTGCTATATAGAAGGTTCCCTCTGTGAGAAGTGGTACCGGCGCAATCGACAACATCCCCGCAAGAGACCTACCCCACTAGGTGAGTCCTTCCAGCCTCAGGCTTCTCCACCTACAATGGTGTTCATTCCATAGGCTACACACAAGTGCACCTTTTATAACTGTACGGATGCTTATTCCAGGTGTTTTTTCCATAATCATTCACGTATTCATTTTTTTTGTTTACACACATTCTCCTTCCTAAAGTAATATAGGTGTTAAATTCACGTGTCTTATCTTAATATCCATTGTCCTGTATATCATCATTGCTTCCCATGACGTCCCTAATATTGTAGCAGAGTGCATCCTACAATACTGTCTAATACATCGACCCCTTAGGGGTCGATGTTGACCACTTTGGGAACCCCAAGTAGTTAGGATGTGTCGAGTTGGGGGCACCAAAACATCAGTGCTCTGATGCTGATAAGAAATTATGGAACTAAGACTTGTGCAAATTGTAGAATGCTCTGTACTACCGTATTACAAATAAGTTCTGAAGTAGTTATTTTAGCCTTGAGAGGTTTTTAAATTTCAAACGAAAATGCTGCATTTCTCTCTTTCTCTGGGGTATTTACGATGCCTGGTAGACAATACTCTCGCCTCACACAATGAGTGTCCGTGATTCGATCCCCGGAAAGGGTTGAAACATTGTGCGTATTTCTTTGCACCTGCCTGCGGTCCTGTTCACCTGACAAGCAAGTAGGTACCTGGGTGTTAGTCTACTGGTGTGAGTCGCATCCTGGGGGACAAGATTTAAGGACCACAGTGGAAATAAAACAGACAGTCCTCGATGACGCACTGACTTTCTCGGGTTATCCTGGGTGGCTAACCCTCCGAGTTTAAAAATCCGAACACATTCTTATCTCTTATGCTATTCTACTGTCTTCCCACAGATGAAGACGATAACGAAACTACGCCACCTGCTTCATCCCGGTCCTCAACGATAACAGTGTCTTCATCGTCGTTGTCGTTGTCTGAAAGGACGCTACCGCAGGAGTGCGGTGTCAGCAACGTAACGAAGCCAGCATGGAGTATGCGCATCATCGGTGGTCGCACTGCGCAGCCGGGAGAGTGGCCATGGCAGGTGGTCATCCTCAACCGCTACCACGTAAGTCACACGGCTGCATTGTTTATTTAATTATTTAATAATTTAATAATTTGAACATACATACAGAGGTACAAAAAAGTTCAGGTAAGAGAAGCATGCCAAAGCCATTGTGAACCTATTTTCCCGGGAGCTACCCAGTGCATTTCACATAATTACAAAAAATATCTGAATTCATAACTTTTTTTTATATATTTCGCCATTACATTTATTATTTTATTTTGAGATACTTTTCAACGCTTGTAAAAAAAAAAATGATTTTTTTTTAACCGGCCTAATCTGGCGATGAGTCTGAAGCTTCTCGTCACCCTCCCAGGTGAGCTGGAAGCTCTCAAATGTTTGCTTTAGAGAGCTAAGAGCTACCATATATGAGCTGGGAGCTCTCAAATGTTTGTTTTAGAGAGCTAAGAGCTACCAGATATGAGCTGGGAGCTCTCAAGTATGTACTTGTACAATGGAAGACCTTGATAAACTTTGTAAACAAAATCGTCTCCATACGACCAAGCATTCTATACCACATAACTTTCATTTATCCAACAGGAACTCCAAGAATATATTTACATTTGGTATATTTAAATAATATGTGAAACACCATATAGGGAGTACTGGCGCGATCCACCGTCTGCACATAGCGAGGCACAAACTTCTTTCTTCTTGCCTCCAGGAGCAAGAAGAAATATATTATTCCCGCATAATATTAGTGTATACTTTTTCTGTATATAATTCGTATTTGTGACATGCGTTGTATGACGTATTTTGTGACGTTGCAGGAAGCATTCTGTGGTGGTACGCTGGTGGCGTCGCGGTGGGTACTAACGGCAGCTCACTGCGTCAGGAGGAAGCTCTACGTACGTCTAGGAGAGCATGACCTAGCTATCAGGGAGGGACCAGAGATAGAGTACAAGGTACGTGAAGCACACACACTTACAACACTACTAACTAATGGAGATAAGCGCTTTAAAATACGACACGATGCAAAAATAAATACAAATGGAATATAATGTGACCTTTCATATTGACTACGTTTCGCCCTCACAGTGGGCGAAACGTAATCAATAAGGGATCACATTGTACTGCATTCATGTTTATTTTCCACTACTAGGTAATGATCATCTGTGTTTTTCGTGGTATACAAAACGCAGCTCTGGTTGTCCAGATGGAATCCGAAAATTTTACTGACGACAATAATAAGAAAAAAAACATATTGCGGAACACGCTTTTCCGGTGACAACTTTTTGCTCTGTGTAAAGCTTTGTCTTGATAAAGCTCTACACAGAACGAAACAATAATAATATCTTTATTTGTTAGGTAAGACACATATGCAACAGTTAGGTATCTTTATTTCGAAACGTTTCGCCTACACAGTAGGCTTCTTCAGTCGAGTACAGAAAAGTTGATAGAAGCAGAAGATACTTGAAGACGATGTAATCAGTCATCGCCTACTGTGTAGGCGAAACGTTTCGAAATAAAGATACCTAACTGTTGCATATGTGTCTTACCTAACAATCTGTCGGTATTTTATACCATTTTAATGTTCAATATCTTTATTTACTACAAGCTCATGGCATACAGGCCTAGCTGACGTCAGTGACATACTGTATAGAAAACTGCTTGTCATGCAGAGCATTTCGGGAAAATTAGGTCAGTTTTGTCCCAGGATGCGACCCACACCAGTCGACTAACACCCAGGTACCCATTTTACTGATGGGTGAACATAGATAACCGGTGTAAGGAAACGCGTCCAATGTTTCCACCCCTTCGCCGGGAATCGAACCCTGATAACCACTGTGTGAAGTGAAGAGCTTTTACCACCAGGCCACGGGCCACCTAAATGTTCCCAACTTGTCTCTTCCTCTCCCTGGTAGACCCGTGGATTGCCCGAGATGCTGTACATTCTACTGGCTTCGGGATTATTATATTTTTGTATGTGCAATGATTTGAAATTCCTTAATACCTCACATGTTATTACATGTTAACTCTATTGTTTTTGTACCACAAAAATTATCATACATAGTAACATATGTATAAATTGCCTAGGATAAGCAAAAAAAAAAAAGTTAAATGAAGTGTCTTATTTCCATTGGGGTTTTTACTAGTAAGTGGATTCTAAAGTCACTTTTGTAAAGCCTATTGTCAGACTTTCCTTGGTTATTCTAGGTAATTTAAACATGTTATTAAGTATAATCATTTGTGTAACTGTATTTATGTGTACCTATGCTTAAATAAATTTTCTTACTTGCTTATTGTTATATTAATATTTTCGTGTTATGTAAATGTGGGAGATAGAGAACGATTTTCATTTTAAGCCTAAAACTACACTAAATCAAATTAATTTTCTTAGGTGGCGCGGACAGAGATACACCCGCAGTACGATTCCACCACTGTCGATAACGACGTGGCACTCCTGCAGCTGCCGGAGGCGGTGGCATCTGGCCCTTACATCGCCCCTGCCTGCCTCCCTGACCAGGGTGCAGGTCTTCCCGTCGGTGACACTTGCACCATCATCGGCTGGGGCAAGGAGCGTAACACTCACATCTTCGGCACAGATGTTCTCCACGAAGCAGAGGTAGTGGTGGTGGTGAAGGAGAGGGAGAGATAGTAGTGGTGGTGAAGGAGCAAGACAGGTAGTAGTGGTGGTGGTGAAGGAGAGGGAGAGATAGTAGTGGTGGTGAAGGAGCAAGACAGGTAGTAGTGGTGGTAGTGAAGGAGAGGGAGAGATAGTAGTGGTGGTGAAGGAGCGAGACAGGTAGTAGTGGTGGTGGTGAAGTAGCGAGACAGGTAGTAGTGGTGGTGGTGAAGTAGCGAGACAGGCAGTAGTGGTGGTGGTGAAGTAGCGAGACAGGTAGTAGTGGTGGTGGTGAAGTAGCGAGACAGGTAGTAGTGGTGGTGGTGAAGTAGCGAGACAGGCAGTAGTGGTGGTGGTGAAGTACGAGACAGATAGTAGTGGTGGTGGTGAATAGCGAGACAGTAGTAGTGGTGTGGTGAAGTAGCGAGACAGGCAGTAGTGGTGGTGGTGAAGTAGCGAGACAGGTAGTAGTGGTGGTGGTGAAGTAGCGAGACAGGCAGTAGTGGTGGTGGTGAAGTAGCGAGACAGGTAGTAGTGGTGGTGGTGAAGTAGCGAGACAGGTAGTAGTGGTGGTGGTGAAGTAGCGAGACAGGTAGTAGTGGGTGGTAGGTAGCGAGACAGGTAGTAGTGGTGGTGGTGAAGTAGCGAGACAGGCAGTAGTGGTGGTGGTGAAGTAGCGAGACAGGTAGTAGGTGGTGGTGTGAAGTAGCGAGACAGGTAGTAGTGGTTGGTGAAGTAGCGAGACAGGTAGTAGTAGTGGTGGTGAAGTAGCGAGACAGGCAGTAGTGGTGGTGGTGAAGTAGCGAGACAGTAGTAGTAGTGGTGGTGAAGTAGCGAGACAGGCATAGTGGTGGTGGTGAAGTAGCGAGACAGGTAGTAGTGGTGGTGGTGAAGTAGCGAGACAGGTAGTAGTAGTGGTGGTGAAGTAGCGAGACAGGCAGTAAGTGGTGGTGGTGAAGTAGCGGACAGGTAGTAGTGGTGGTGGTGAAGTAGCGAGACAGGTAGTATAGATGGTGTGAAGTAGCGAGACAGGCAGTTAGTGTGGTGGTGAAGTAGCGAGACAGGCAGTAGTAGTGGTGGTGAAGTAGCGAGACAGGTAGTAGTATGGTGGTGAAGTAGCGAGACAGGTAGTAGTATGTGGTGAAGTAGCGAGACAGGTAGTAGTAGTGGTGGTGAAGTACGAGACAGGCAGTAGTGGTGGTGAAGTAGCGAGACAGGTAGTAGTAGGGGTGGTGAAGTAGCGAGACAGGCATAGTAGTGGTGGTGAAGTAGCGAGACAGGCAGTAGTAGTGGTGGTGAAGTAGCGAGACAGGCAGTAGTAGTGGTGGTGAAGTAGCGAGACAGGCAGTAGTAGTGGTGGTGAAGTAGCGAGACAGGCAGTAGTAGTGGTGGTGAAGTAGCGAGACAGGCAGTAGTAGTGGTGGTGAGTAGCGAGACAGGCAGTAGTAGTGGTGGTGAAGTAGCGAGACAGGTAGTAGTAGTGGTGGTGAAAGTAGCGAGACAGGCAGTAGTAGTGGTGGTGAAGTAGCGAGACAGGCAGTAGTAGTGGTGGTGAAGTAGCGAGACAGGCAGTAGTAGTGGTGGTGAAGTAGCGAGACAGGCAGTAGTAGTGGTGGTGAAGTAGCGAGACAGGCAGTAGTAGTGGTGGTAAGAGTGATTGTTGTGGCGAAGGTGAGAGACAAAAAGTTGTAATTGTCTCCATCAGTAGAAGCTTAGATTATTGTTTAAATAAAGGAGTGACAAGAATCACATCTGAATTTCTACACGTGCACACACACACACACACACACACACACACACACACACACACACACACACACACACTACACCGACATAAAAATAAACTCAAGGAGTGAGCGGAGGAGAGACAGAGAAGTACAGACACTGGACCTATGGCGCAGTTGGAAGTTAAAGACGGAGATGAACCTCAGGGATGTGAGGAAATTTTCCTTCAGCCTCAGATTGGTCAGTAAGTGGAATAAGTTGGATGAAGAGGTGGTGAAAGCAGACTCCATACACACCTTTAAGGAAAGGTATGACAAGGCTCTTAGAGCATTGAGGGAATGGACCAAGTAGTAACCAGCGAAGAGATGGGGTCAGGAGCTGCCACTCGACCCCTTCAACCTCAGATACGTGAGTACACACACACACACATACACACACACACACACACACACACACACACACACACACACACACACACACACACACACACACACAGGGAGGCAACAACGAGTCATGGTACGTAATGATGTATCACAGTGGGCACCTGTGACGAGCGGGGTCCCACAGGGGTCGGTCCTAGGACCAGTGCTAATTTTGGTATATGTGAACGACATGACGGAAGGGTTAGACTCAGAAGTGTCCCTGTTTGCAGATGATGTGAAGTTAATGAGGAGAATTAAATCTGATGAGGACCAGGCAGGACTTCAAAGAGACCTGGACAGACTGGACACCTGGTCCAGCAAATGGCTTCTCGAATTTAATCCTGCCAAATGCAAAGTCATGAAGATAGGGGAAGGGCACAGAAGACCACAGACAGAGTATAGGCTAGGTGGCCAAAGACTGCAAACCTCACTCAAGGAGAAAGATCTTGGGGTGAGTATAACACCGAGCATGTCTCCGGAAGCACACATCAATCAGATAACTGCTGCAGCATATGGGCGCCTGGCAAACCTGAGAACAGCATTCCGATACCTTAGTAAGGAATCATTCAAGACACTGTACACCGTGTATGTCAGGCCCATACTGGAGTATGCAGCACCTGTTTGGAACCCGCACTTGATAAAGCACGTCAAGAAACTAGAGAAAGTACAAAGGTTTGCGACAAGGTTAGTTCCAGAGCTAAGGGGAATGTCCTATGAAGAAAGATTAAGGGAAATCGGCCTGACGACACTGGAGGACAGGAGGGTCAGGGGAGACATGATAACGACATATAAAATACTGCGTGGAATAGACAAGGTGGACAAAGACAGGATGTTCCAGGGAGGGGACACAGAAACAAGAGGCCACAATTGGAAGTTGAAGACACAAATGAGTCAGAGAGATAGTAGGAAGTATTTCTTCAGTCATAGAGTTGTAAGGCAGTGGAATAGCCTAGAAAATGACGTAGTGGAGGCAGGAACCATACACAGTTTTAAGACGAGGTTTGATAAAGCTCATGGAGCGGGGAGAGAGAGGGCCTAGTAGCAACCGGTGAAGAGGCGGGGCCAGGAGCTAGGACTCGACCCCTGCAACCACAAATAGGTGAGTACACACACACACACACACAGTGATGTAGTGGAGGTAGGATACATACATAGGTTTAAAAAGAGATACTCCTGGAGCAGGGAGAGTGGACCTAGTAGCGACCAACGAAGAGGCTGGGCCAGGAGCTGTGAATCGACCCCTGCAACCACAAATAGATGAGTACAAATAGGCGAGTAAACACACACACTGGCGGGGCCAGGAGCTATGACCCGACCCCTGTAATCACAATTAGATGAGTACATGATATTGGTCGCTAGAAATGGTTCTTAGGAACCTCAAGGTTATGTTCATAATTGCATTTGATTTATGGCAAGAATATTTTGAGGAACTTTTAAATGTTGAGGAAGAAAGGGAAGCGGTAATTTCATGCACTGGCCAGGGAGGTATACCATCTTTTAGGAGTGAAGAAGAGCAGAATGTAAGTGTGGTGGAGGTACGTGAGACATTACGTAGAATGAAAGGGGTTAAAGCAGCTGGAACTGATGGGATCATGACAGAAATGTTAAAAGCAGGGGGGGGATATAGTGTTGGAGTGGTTGGTAGTTTTGTTTAATAAATGTATGAAAGAGGGGAAGGTACCTAGGGATTGGCGGAGAGCATGTATAGTCCCTTTATATAAAGGGAAGGGGGACAAAAGAGATTGTAAAAATTATAGAGGAATAAGTTTACTGAGTATACCAGGAAAAGTATACGGTAGGGTTATAATTGAAAGAATTAGAGGTAAGACAGAATGTAGGATTGCAGATGAGCAAGGAGGTTTCAGAGTGGGTAGGGGATGTGTAGATCAAGTGTTTACATTGAAACATATATGTGAACAGTATTTAGATAAAGGTAGGGAAGTTTTTATTGCATTTATGGATTTAGAAAAGGCATATGATAGAGTGGATAGAGGAGCAATGTGGCAGATGTTGCAAGTTTATGGAATAGGTGGTAAGTTACTAAATGCTGTAAAGAGCTTTTATGAGGATAGTGAGGCTCAGGTTAGGGTGTGTAGAAGAGAGGGAGAATACTTCCCAGTAAAAAGTAGGTCTTAGACAGGGAAGTGTAATGTCACCATGGTTGTTTAATATATTTATAGATGGGGTTGTAAAAGAAGTAAATGCTAGGGTGTTGGGGAGAGGGGTGGGATTAAATTATGGGGAATCAAATTTAAAATGGGAATTGACACATTTACTTTTTGCTGATGATACTGTGCTTATGGGAGATTCTAAAGAAAAATTGCAAAGGTTAGTTGATGAGTTTGAGAATGTGTGTAAAGGTAGAAAGTTGAAAGTGAACATAGAAAAGAGTAAGGTGATGAGGGTATCAAATGATTTAGATAAAGAAAAATTGGATATCAAATTGGGGAGGAGGAGTATGGAAGAAGTGAATGTTTTCAGATACTTGGGAGTTGAAGTGTCGGCAGATGGATTTATGAAGGATGAGGTTAATCATAGAATTGATGAGGGAAAAAAGGTGAGTGGTGCGTTGAGGTATATGTGGAGTCAAAAAAAACGTTATCTGTGGAGGCAAAAAAGGGGAATGTATGAAAGTATAGTAGTACCAACACTCTTATATGGATGTGAAGCTTGGGTGGTAAATGCAGCAGCGAGGAGACGGTTGGAGGCAGTGGAGATGTCCTGTCTAAGGGCAATGTGTGGTGTAAATATTATGCAGAAAATTCGGAGTGTGGAAATTAGGAGAAGGTGTGGAGTTAATAAAAGCATTAGTCAGAGGGCAGAAGAGGGGTTGTTGAGGTGGTTTGGTCATTTAGAGAGAATGGATCAAAGTAGAATGACATGGAAAGCATATAAATCTATAGGGGAAGGAAAGAGGGTAGGGGTCGTCCTCGAAAGGGTTGGAAAGAGGGGGTAAAGGAGGTTTTGTGGGCGAGGGGCTTGGACTTCCAGCAAGCGTGCATGAGCGTGTTAGATAGGAGTGAATGGAGACGAATGATACTTGGGACCTGACGATCTGTTGGAGTGTGAGCAGGGTAATATTTAGTGAAGGGATTCAGGGAAACCGGTTATTTTCATATAGTCGGACTTGAGTCCTGGAAATGGGAAGTACAATGCCTGCACTTTAAAGGAGGGGTTTTGGATATTGGCAGTTTGGAGGGATATGTTGTGTATCTTTATACGTATATGCTTCTAAACTGTTGTGTTCTGAGCACCTCTGCAAAAGCAGTGATAATGTGTGAGTGTGGTGAAAGTGTTGAATGATGATGAAAGTATTTTCTTTTTGGGGATTTTCTTTCTTTTTTTGGGTCACCCTGCCTCGGTGGGAGACGACAGACTTGTTGAAAAAAAAATATATATATATATATATGAAAATTTATTAATAGATAGAATACATTTACAGGAAACACAAACATGAATACAATGGTACAATATGTTAAAGATTATGGATTTCCTCCAGCTCCTCCGAAGCCGGACGCGAGTCAAGTATGCAGCAAGCTTTTTCCCTCTGGATGGCCACACTGAGGTGCTGGAACATGAAAGTGGCTGCCCTTGGGTCCCTGGTGGTGTCGATGAGTCTGGAACCCAATTATTTAAGGAAACTTGTGGTATTTTTTTCTATGATCCCAAGGTCTCTGATCCTGCTGGGACAAATTGATACTGTTGGCTTATGCCCCTGTACTTTCCGAGCTTGTACTCCTCCCTGTGGTCAGCAGCTCCTCCCTGTCGCCCCACACTGTGATGGATGAAGGTGTCAGCCAGTGTGGACACACAGGTATAGTCCCATGCTAAGAGCTTGCCATTCTTCCAAGGATAGATGGTGATCCCGTCGGGGCTGTTTGCTGGGTTGTGGGTATTGTTGGCTGCTAGTGATCGGGGCTCCCTCTCGGCTGGGCATCCAGTTGTAGCAAGGGTTCTCTTTATGATGTCATATATATATATATATAATATATATATATATATATATATATAATATATATATATATATATATATATATATATATATATATATATATAAATATATATATATATATATATAATGACAGAGCTTAATCTACACTGTTGTTTACACTGAGAGCTGTAAACTTTAGCTGTTAACTTTAACCCTTATTTTAGGTATTAAACATGCCCATGCACTCTGCCCCAGGGCCAGACTCATGGAACTCCGTGTTCATCAAGAACTGCAAGAAGCCCCTATCACGAGCCTTTTCCATCCTATGGAGAGGGAGCATGGACACGGGGGTCGTCCCACAGTTACTAAAAACAACAGACATAGCCCCACTCCACAAAGGGGGCAGTAAAGCAACAGCAAAGAACTACAGACCGATAGCACTAACATCCCATATCATAAAAATCTTTGAAAGGGTCCTAAGAAGCAAGATCACCACCCATCTAGAAACCCATCAGTTACACAACCCAGGGCAACATGGGTTTAGAACAGGTCGCTCCTGTCTGTCTCAACTATTGGATCACTACGACAAGGTCCTAAATGCACTAGAAGATAAAAAGAATGCTGATGTAATATATACAGACTTTGCAAAAGCCTTCGACAAGTGTGACCATGGCGTAATAGCGCACAAAATGCGTGCTAAAGGAATAACAGGAAAAGTCGGTCGATGGATCTATAATTTCCTCACTAACAGAACACAGAGAGTAGTCGTCAACAGAGTAAAGTCCGAGGCAGCTACGGTGAAAAGCTCTGTTCCACAAGGCACAGTACTCGCTCCCATCTTGTTCCTCATCCTCATATCCGACATAGACAAGGATGTCAGCCACAGCACCGTGTCTTCCTTTGCAGATGACACCCGAATCTGCATGACAGTGTCTTCCATTGCAGACACTGCAAGGCTCCAGGCGGACATCAACCAAATCTTTCAGTGGGCTGCAGAAAACAATATGAAGTTCAACGATGAGAAATTTCTATTACTCAGATATGGTAAACATGAGGAAATTAAATCTTCATCAGAGTACAAAACAAATTCTGGCCACAAAATAGAGTGAAAAACCAACGTCAAAGACCTGGGAGTGATCATGTCAGAGGATCTCACCTTCAAGGACCATAACATTGTATCAATCGCATCTGCTAGAAAAATGACAGGATGGATAATGAGAACCTTCAAAACTAGGGAGGCCAAGCCCATGATGACACTCTTCAGGTCACTTGTTCTATCTAGGCTGGAATATTGCTGCACACTAACAGCACCTTTCAAGGCAGGTGAAATTGCTGACCTAGAAAATGTACAGAGAACTTTCACGGCGCGCATAACGGAGATAAAACACCTCAATTACTGGGAGCGCTTGAGGTTCCTGAACCTGTATTCCCTGGAACGCAGGCGGGAGAGATACATGATTATATACACCTGGAAAATCCTAGAGGGACTAGTACCGAACTTGCACACGAAAATCACTCACTACGAAAGCAAAAGACTTGGCAGACGATGCAACATCCCCCCAATGAAAAGCAGGGGTGTCACTAGCACGTTAAGAGACCATACAATAAGTGTCATGGGCCCGAGACTGTTCAACTGCCTCCCAGCATACATAAGGGGGATTACCAACAGACCCCTGGCAGTCTTCAAGCTGGCACTGGACAAGCACCTAAAGTCGGTTCCTGACCAGCCGGGCTGTGGCTCGTACGTTGGTTTGCGTGCAGCCAGCAGCAACAGCCTGGTTGATCAGGCTCTGATCCACCAGGAGGCCTGGTCACAGACCGGGCCGCGGGGGCGTTGACCCCCGGAACTCTCTCCAGGTAAACTCCAGGTAATTCTTGACTGGTGATGTAATGGTTACACCACCAGTTAAGAATAGTTTAATACCTAAAATAACAATTTGAATAACTATTTGAATAGTGATAAGCTCCTAACTCATTTAACTAAGCAATTATAAACTACACTTCAACTACTCTGACTTCATTAATGAGGTGAGCTTAAAGATGTCGTCAGGAGACTGGAGGATCATTAACACGTACAGCACAGCACGGCATTATTATTATTATTATTAAAGATTAGCCGGTATTCTCCCGGCCTGGGCCTTTTCCAAGTGGTGGCCCGGCCTTGGCTCCCTCTTAGGGAGTGTCTGAGACCTAAGTCTCCCATGGGAGGAGGCACAAGTACCTCCTCATCTGTGGGACCAACTGTCCCCAGGCCTAGCCACAAGCTAGGCCTCTCTGGTCTGCCATCCCCACCCCAAGGTGGTTAATGGTAATGACAGTCTTATGAGCTAAAGGCTCGGGCTCAGGCACCTACCCTACCCTAGAAGGGCTGGGCATGGTGTCGATACAGCACAGCACGGCAGTTTTCAGAAGCTGCAATTGTGTGAACGTTTTCTAGTATTTATGGGTGAACTATAATGTTTTCCATTATTTCCAGGTGTTAATTTATTAATTTCCATCGATGAATCATCAAACTACCTAATTTGACGTGTTCGCTGGAGGCTGCAGGTTTTTAACACATCACTTATGAACAATAGGTATAAGGAAAAATCATTATTTCCACTAGTGCCGGGATCAAACCTGAGTCTCTTGGTTGTGAGCCAAAGGTTCAGCTACTTGAAACATAAACCACTTGTTTATAAATCCTTGTATGAATTTTGCTTCCAGTGCCATTATTCAGGTCATTCTATTTCTCTTCCACCTTTAATGATGAATATATATATATATATACCTGAATGTTTGAATGTTTAAGGTCCAGTTATGCTCATGTTCTTACTTTATTACTAGTAAATAAACTATCTTTGTCTGCCTTATTTATGCCCTATTTATTTTTCCAGAGATAGAAATCCTAGTTGTTGCTGTTTGATAGGTTTGTTCTTCACCTCCATAACTCTATAATCTAAAGATTACAAAGACACATAATGGATCCAGAGACTAAACTTCAATGTTTTTTGTTAGATAAGTAAATTGCAGTAGCTTTCACATTTTTTTTTATATCTCATTCCTCTCCACTAAGATTTTAAACTGAAGTCATTTCTTTGAACTCTTTCGATTTTCGTTTTTACCTCATTTATGTGGCCTAAAGTGGGTCACATAAATGAGGTAAAGAGTGTCTTAAACGTGTCTTTGTCAATATTTCTAAATGTCACTTTTGCTCACCCTATGTTATTGATGTTATTTCGTTATGTGTTCTTCAGGGAATAATAGGTCTGAGGTATTAGTTGTTGTCAGTGTTTTTCTCTAAATACTTTTGTTTTTGTGAGTGAGAGGCTGCGTATCATCGCTGGTAATATAATTAGCCTGTTAATATGATAGTATTTCCACCGCTGATAAAGTAGTAATTAAGCTTGTGTTTGTGTTAACAGGTTCCCATCATCGCGAGCGATGTGTGTGAGTCAGTGTATGAGGACTACTATATTACTTCTAACATGTTCTGTGCTGGGTACCGTAAGGGTCGCATTGACTCCTGTGCAGGGGACTCTGGGGGTCCTCTCCTGTGTCACCGCTACGGCAAATGGTGAGAAAATTTTACCTTACCCCTCCCGCTAAGTTGTTCTCAGTACTGTGTATATGTCCTCGCTAAATCTGGCTGTCCTTTAAATTTTCTATTCAATCATAATAATCTACCATTCTTAAAACGTTCATCATTTTTAAAAAATCCCACACGTGGTTTTAAGAAAACCATCACAGTTTTAAAAAGAAGAAGTGAAGGAAGAGAAGAAAGGGAGTATTTAGTCACTTTTAAAGTATTAATATTTAAGATAAAAAATAGTAATGCTAGTAAAAATTTTGCCCCTTGTTCCAGGGTGATATTCTGTGTAGATAGATATGTATGTAAAGAAAAGACACAGACTCCAGAAAAAAGCTTTTGTTAGGACATTGTTTTAATGTATGTATAGTTTTATCGAGGCATTCCCTCAAGGGAGGTTTCTTGATGCTAATGAGAGGCTCTTGACGTAAGGAATTGGATCTGTGCTCCAATTCCTTGATTCCAGCCTGAATGTCTTCCATTCCTCAGGTGCTGTATGACTCCTGTGGGTTTAACGCTTCCCCCTACCATTGTAATTAAAAAAAAATAATAATTTATCAAGGTATTCTACATTTCTCTACTGAACAAAAAATTGTCTAAAATAAAAGCTTTCTCTGTAAGGTGGGTATTTTCTTCAATCTTCTCGGCAGTAAGCTATTTAGATCAAATTATGTAAGTGTTGCTCGTCCTTCTGAAGTAACTAGAGAGACACCAGCAATTTTGAGATACGTATTTTAACTGTGTTGGCCTTCCTCAGGTATATCTACGGCATCACGTCTTTCGGAGAGGGTTGTGGTAAGCGAGGCAAGTTCGGCATCTATGCAAGGGTCTCCAACTACCGTCTCTGGGTGCAGAACGTCATCTCGTCTCCTTTCCCTTGAATGTTGCCCACACCCTCCGATGGTGTCCTGAAATTTGAGCACTTCCTTAACTTTTGAACGTCGCTCCTATACTGGAACACTGCCCCTGATTCTTCAGCATTGCCCCTGACTGATACTGGAGGACTGTTCCTCATCCCTTTACACTGCTCCTCTTGATATGTAAATGTCACCCCTTGACAGTGAGTCTCAGTCTTGAGATGCAGGTCAGCTCTAGAGAAGTTTGGTGATGAGGATTGGTTACTGAGCTCAGGAATGGATTGGTAGAGCAACACGAGATTTGAGCTTCATGTGAAGGGCTAGACTGACTCATGCTGAGGGCATCTATCCTGCCAGTCCAGCATGGGATATATTTATTCAAGAAGCACAAGTCAGCAGCAGGCTGAATCACCTCGTGTACTCAGTAACATGAATGCGAACTTCTGCTGAGTTGTGAACTAGTTCCTTTGCAGTTGTTTAGTCAGCCAGCTTGAGACAGATCTGGGGTGAGGTCATCTGTTAAAACACAAACTAGCCATGAAGGTTCAGCTCAATAAGTGTATTCAGGCCTTCAACTGTGTTATGCTTTTGATATGTTACGTGTGGATGATAATGTTTAAGTAGGTGTCCACACACCTGCAAGGTTTACCATAAGGACACCAAAACATATCGGGAATGCGATAATCGAGATCTAATTAAAGAAAGCCTTAAGTTGAAAGTATAATGACATCAAGTGGGGTTGTAAAGTAGAAGAAATTCCTTAATAGTGAAGAGGTATGCCATTTTGTTAGTGTGGTCAGTGGCATCTTTGCAAAGATGTTCCTTAGTGCCAAGTCGCCATATACTGCTACTGTGCCACACTGGTTTATTGAAATAGAGAACGTGATGTCCTGTTATGGACAATGTCTGTCAGTTACTGAAGCCAGTGAAGTGGCAGGTAATGAGTCATGGTGGACCATCTGTTATACTATTTAATATTGGAACATGAATAGTTTTATGGAAGAACGAAACATCAAGCAAACTGAATATTGTACAACATTCTTCAGTTGGGTTAAAAATAACGTCTTTATACTTTTGGGAATAAGTAATAAAAGCAGTTTATAACCTAGTTAGTAGCGGTGTAATGTATGAAATACATGCATAACAGGAAATGCTGGAAAACAATAGCATTTCCCTGATTGTTTTAAAATTTGGTTTATATGAAAAAGGGAGGGGGGGGGCAGAGAGAGAGAGAGAGAGGTGGGGGAGGTAGGGGCTTTGATCATAGGAACCGGACTTATCATGTATTTTTAAAAATAGCAAAAGCATTGAAAAAATCGAAAAATGTGACAAAAAGATCTTTTACTGCATATTTCGACGATATAGATCGTCGAAATATGCATGGATGGAATTTCAGTGCTTCCAGTTTCACAGGCACTATATGACTGCTGAGGGTTTAGTGCTTTCCCCCTGATGAAAATAAAGCAATTGTGAATGGTATCAGTCTTCAGTGGCCGATGCACGAATTCAAACCATGCCACGGGTGGGAATAGAACCCGCGATCAGAATCTCAAAACTCCAGACCGTCGCGTTAGCCACTGGACCAGCTAGCCACAATAAGATTCGTCCAACTAGGTATATTTCTGGAGTTTTGAGACTCTCTGATCGCGGGTTCTATCTCCACCCGTGGTATGGTTTGCAATCGTGTCACTACGATTTCGTGAGTCATGAATTCAAATGTAAATATGGCAGAGCTCAAGAAAGGGGTCAGGGAAACCTTATGTCAGTCAGTGCAGCAGCTTGATCCCCCACATAACAGATAAATACAGAGACAGATCGCAGTCAGCAGGATTCAAAACCACGTTAGGCGAGTCTTGCAAGGTTCCCCAAATGACGCACTAGACCACTCTCCCACAGATGCCTCAAAAACTAGGCTGTTTGGTTTACCAGGCTACCTAGAAATATTTTTCAATCACACCCTGGTAATCAAGCAGCCATAGACAGATGGCGAACTCGGTGCTCTGCCAGGTTAAGTAGTATTGGTCTGGATGGTAACTGGATGGGTGGCCGCTTACAAGGAGCCTAGCAACACCATTATCTGGAATGTCTGCCCGATACTTCTCTTAAGAAAATTAGGAAGAAATCATTGATGAGTTGGGGAAGTAGTGATGAAAGTTTATATGTTATGCTAGTCTGATGTTGTAATATATAATATTATATATATATATATATTATAATATATAATATTATATATATATTATTTATATATATAATATATATATATATATATATATATATATATATATATATATATATATATATATATATTATATATAATATATATATATATATATATATATATATATATATATATATATTATTATATAATATATATATATATATTATATATATATATATATATATATATATATATATATATATATATATATATTATATATATATAATATATATAATATATATTATAATATATATATATATAATATATATATATATATATATATATATATATAATATATATTATATTATATATATATATATATATATATAATATATATATATATAATATATATATATATTAATATATATATAATATATATGTATATTATATATATATATAAATATATATATATATATATATATATATATATATATATATATATATATATATAATATATATATATATATATATATATATATATATATATATATATAATATATATAATATATAAGCTCTCGAACAAGAAAGATATCTTTCACTACTACTGAGAATGTGCTAAGGATTGGCATGATCATGTGACCTGATTAGAATATATATAAAAATAGTCATAGATAAATATATAATTTAGATAAATATATAATTAATAAGTCATTCTTGACTCATGGATGGAATAGCGTAGTAGTGATAACCACGATAATAAAAGACACTGAGCGGAACTTAGTCTCAGTGAAAGCTTTTATTCTCTAGTTCTCGTCTCTGACCATCCGTTCCCAGTGTTAATAATGTGATACACACGCAGCTTGATAATTACGTGCCATTATTCTGAGATAATGTATTTATTGTTATCTACAATATTTTTACTTTTTTTAATAAAATTGTAATTAATATTCTTGTTTTTTCGTAACATCCTTTCTTTAACACGACTGATCTCCAATATTATATATATATATATATATATATATATATATATATATATATATATATATATATATATATATATATATCTTTGACGAAGGCCTGAGCTTACTACCTCCTGCAGCTCACGAGACTGCCATCCCCACGAGCTCCTTTGGGGCGGGGCAGATGGCAGACCAGAGGCCTAGCTTCTCCCTACGAGCCCCGTGAGGGCAGGGGCTGTGGCTAGGCCTGGGGACACTTGGTCCCAAAGATGAGGTGGTACTTGTACCTCCTCCCATGGGAGACTTAGGTCTTAAGACACTCCCCAGATAGGGAGCCAAGGCCGGGTCACCACAATAATGAACAAATTATGAGGTAATGAGCAATTCACAGGTCCACACCCGGTCACATCTGTAAAGAGTTATTAGTGCAAATATTAATTGTTGGGTCACACACACACACACACACACACTGTACACCATGTACGTCAGGCCCATACTGGAGTATGCAGCACCAGTTTGGAACCCACACCTGGTCAAGCACGTCAAGAAATTAGAGAAAGTGCAAAGGTTCGCGACAAGGCTAGTTCCAGATCTAAGGAGAATGTCCTACAAAGAAAGGTTAAGGGAAATCGGCCTGACGACACTAGAGGACAGGAGGGTCAGGCGATAAAAGGACCCCAATGGAAATAAGTCACTCTGACTTTTTTGGTTTATCCCAGGTTCTCTACACATATGCTGCTATGTATGATAATCTATGTAACTGTATTTGTGTATACCTGAATAAACTTACTTACTTAGACATGATAACGACATACAAGATACTGCGGGGAATAGACAAGGTGGACAGAAACAGGATGTTCCAAAGAGGGGACACAGAAACAAGGGGTCACACTTGAAAGTTGAAGACTCAGAGGAGTCAAAGGGATGTTAGGAAGTATTTCTTCAGTCACATAGAGTAATCCGGAAGTGGAATAGTCTAGCAAGTGATGTAGTGGAGGCAGGAGCCATACATACCTGGAGTTTACCTGGAGGTAAACTCCAGGTATGTATGGCTCCTGCCTCACATAGCTTTAAGACTAGGTATGATAAAGCTCATGGAGCAGGGAAACAGAGGACCTAGTAGCGTTCGGTGAAGAGGCAGGGCCAGGAGCTGAGTCTCGACCCCTGCAACCACAATTAGGTGAGTACACATACACTAGCGTACATACATACACGAGCACATGCACTCACCCATGTGAGTATAAAAATACACACGCAAACATACACACACACACACACACAAACACACACACACACACACATACACACACACACACACACACACACACACACATACATCTCAGTAGTAGTACCAGTTTCTAGTAACCAGTTACCAGTAACCAGTACCAGTAGATGACTTACTACCAACCGTCTGTGTGAATCATTGACTGTATTCATATTGCTGCTGACCATAGCAGGATTTCAAACACCCTCACCCGTAGGCACTATGGGTCATTGATAGTTAGGCAGCAGAGAGAGACAGGTCAGCTGTTGGCGCTTTCCATACTTCCCGTTATATATTATACGTACTACCAGCCTACGTGAGTATTTTTACCCATCCACGTATCGAAAACCCACATGACATACACACACACACACACACACACCCTCCCCTTCTAATCCCATCACACACACACACCTCCCCCGCTTCTAAGGGTCAACTCATCCTTCTCTCCCCCCCCCCCCCTCCCCCCCCCTCCCCCCTCCCCCCTCCCCCCTCCCCCCTCCCCCTTTTCCCCTTCCCCCTTAATCCCATCCCTCTCCCACACATGCACACACACATACACAAGCACATTACACTTGACACAACACCCTACTCCCCCCTTCCCCTAACCCACCTCTTCCCCTCCCCCTACCACCTACCCCTCCCCCAAACCATCTAACCCCTCCCCCAAACCATCTAACCCCCTCCCCCAACCACCTCTCCCCCTCCCCCATAACCATCCATCCCCACTCCCCCAAACCATCTATTCCCCTCCCCCTAACCATCTCTCCCTCTTCCTTCTGTGGTGCAGTGGGGCAACCTAGAACTAGGATGAGAACAAAGGGCCAGAAGGACGAATCTGGGAGGGAGGACTGGGAGGCAGAGCTCAAAAAAAGGAAGACTGGGGAAGGAGGCTAGATGAGCTTGCAAGGAAGATGGAGGAGAGGTTAGCAGCAGAATGCAGAAGGTGGGAGCAACATGCCACAGTAGCAGAAGCCAAGATACAGAGATTAGAAGAGGAGCTGAGAGATCTGAAACAGCCTAGAGACAAAGATAATACAGAAGTAGCATCAGCAATGTTTACATCAGACACAGGCAAAGGATCTAAAGGGAGCATGGAAGCTAAACTGTATGCAGAGGTCCTGTCAAACCCACATGGGGCCAAAACAAAGACAGGGAGCACACTAGGACAGAATGAGAGATTGGAAGACATTGAAGGAACTAGGACATGTGCGGACCTTACCAGACACTTGTGGGGGCCAGAAACAGGTGAGCAGGAAGGACAAACCAATGAGCATAGGGGCCACAGCTAAGGAAGGGACTAAAGGAACACTCCATGGGAAGGAACTAAAACACCTCAGAGGATGCAATGGGAGTCACAGTGGGAGGTGGAAAGGGAGAAATCAGTTTTTGTCTATGGGCTAGACGAAGCTGAAGGGGAAACTTATGATGAAAGAAAGCAGGAAGAGAAAAAAGCGATTGAAGGTATCATGAAGGTGATAGGCGGGGGAGACATGACCCAGGTGGCAAATTTTCAGAGAATCGGGTGGTTCACAAAGAAAAGGAATCGGCCTCTCAAAGTAATTTTCAAGGCAGAATCAACTCGAACCATGATCCTGCAGGAGAAAGCATGGCTGAGAGGCAAACAGGAGTTCATGAGTGTGTACCTCGATCGAGACAGAACACAGGAGGAAAGGATAATACTGAAAGAGAGAGTGCAAAAACGAAAGGAGGAATGGGAGGAAATGAAAAAGGAGAGCAGAATAACCCAGGAACAGGTGGAAGGACAAGCACACCCCCCAGAAACACCTGCAGAAGGACTCCAGCCACGACACCCCCAAGGCAACTGAACAATCCAAACCAACCATCAC